TGCCTTTTAAAAATCTTGGCATTGCCTTGAACCTTTTAATCCTTAGAATAAATACCTTTTTTCCCTGAAGACCTGCCAATCAGCTGGCCTCTCACATACCTTATCTGACAGAGATCAGACGATCACAACAACACCTACTGGACCCACCAGCTTCCAGCTCACGCCACCAGTCATCAATGCCAAATATTGCTTTATTCAGTCAATTATAATCAGGTTCCCACACAGAGTTCCCTGATCCGCTCCTCTACTACAAGGCCATTCGATAAGAGTAAAGTTAACTCTGCAGGGATCATCAAGAAGACTTGACTGCATCTTTTGAAATACCTGGAATCCTATAGTAAAATCTGGTAAGATGTCCACCGAGTAGGACTATGCTTCCTCTGTATTTTTTCCTCACATTTCTAAGCTAAAATAATAAGCACAATCATGGTGAACATACACAGTGCAATGTAATTCCAAAAGACTTTGTAGCAATACTGCTACAAAAGCACAGGGACCATTTCACAAATAACCTACCTCAAGTACAGTATGTTTTCTAAAATACAAAGAGTACAATTCTGACTCAAGCCAAACAGGAGTCAGTTAAATGATGTGCTTGATGTTTTCTGTGTGGGTCAGGTCACAGGTCAGTGTCTATTTTCATTTATTGGCTTACTAGCAACTGAATTATTCTGTGTTTTGTTGCAGGAGAAGTTAGATTTACTCTGCTCTTTCCCAGATGCATTGGCAGTATTGTTATGCTTTTATTTTCAAGTTTTACTTTTCAGATTCCTGTTTTTAAATTCAATTTCTAAGATGAGTTCAGCGGTACAATACAGTGGTTCTTTCACAGGTCAAAAAACACTGACTAATATATTTATTTATTTACTATTAGCTTTTGCTTGGTGTTGATTACAGAAAGGCTAATTATGTACTATCTTGGTAATATGAGCCAAATATAGTAAGTGTTTGAAACTCCTGCACTTTTAAATTTCATCAGCCCCGTGGCTCTGGTACATTATTGTCTGTGAATGAATAGAATAAGTGCTTGTTCTCGTTAATTTCAAAAGCTGTCCTCAGTCCATCTATGCAGACGAGATGGGAAAAAATCCTCAATAAGGAGTGTGTATCTACTATATATTTATTTGTATGTGCATGTGTATGTGTGTATGTGTGAGAAAGAGAGAGGCAAGGTAGGGTGAGAGCACACCTCTGTGCTTTAACATGGGAGTTGAGAGGAGAACTGCTTTATTTGAACATGGCACACTTGTTGACCCTCTTCATAACCATTCCTCCTAACCATTTCTCCACACTGCTATCTCACTTTGAGTATTTCATGCACTACTATTTAAGCATGATAAATGATAACCGAGTCAAATGTTTTGTCTGTACATTGGTTTTCTGTCTTATCTGACCAATGGCCATCATTCACTTCAGCCCATGTTTTCCTTCTAGCTACATCTCATATTTATTATTCACTTTCTCAGGCAGGAATTAGTCACACAACAGTGAGACAGGGCCCTCTGACAAATGCTCATATAGCAGACCAGCAGGGACACAGAGCCTGTCAAATCAAATGTCAAAAGAGCAGTTGGCCAACTTTAAACTCTCTTACACTTTCATTTCCTCAGTATTCTTGAGTGAAGCTGGGATAGATTATACATGACAGAACATCTCTATGGGATTAGATAAGAGCGAGCTAGAGATAAGTGAGAGAAAACCATCTTCAGATATGATAGCAATCTGGTATCCACATTAGTTATTCTGCTGTGCTCACTGACTGCACTAAGAGATGTTTTCTTTTGTTAAACAATCTTATACATATGGTATCATGCCACACTTGTTTTTTGATTCAGTGACAGTGATGATAAAGGGTGGGAGGCACTGAATGTGAGATAATCATTCACTCCTGTGGGGAGAGTTAAGGTTGTGAAAGCTGCTCACTTCTTTGGGATCAGATAGAAGATGAGGGTGGTTTTGTTGGTCCCTGCAGAATGCACAATACCAGCACAAAACATTCGTGATACATTTGACTGGTAATCGGTTTTAGGTGCTTGTACAATTAAAATATCTTTGCTGGATTGTGTAATTTAGGTCTGGAATATTTCCTGTGCTTGTTCATGTGAGGGGAAAATACTTCTTTGACTTTGCAACAAGCAAAAATACTTTGGTTCAGTGATACAAACAGGGGCAATGATGGGGGATTTGAGAGGGCTAGATGTTTTTGTCTAATGTCATAGTGTGTGCCTTGATTATGAATAAACACAATGTTGACAGTTGAAGAGAATGTTACTATCAGGTGTAACACAATGTTGACAGTTGAAGAAATAGTTGAAGAGAATGTTACTATCAGGTGTCCACCTAGTTTTCGTTGTCTGGCGGTCATGTTGGTGAAATCTCCTCCACGTGATTACTTGGAACAAACGGAGGCCTCACAGGTTGCTGTTTGTCACTCTGCAAGTTCTCACGCTTTCATGACTACAGCAACATTTCAGGAGCAGCCCGACGTTTTCTGGCCTCAGAACCTGCTGTCATCCCAGCCTTTATGGACAGGATTTCCCAGCTCCCACTCTAATAATGAATAGGTAATATTTCTTATACTTAACCTGGGAGAAAAGAATTGTCACTGAAGGGGCACATGCAGTTACTTCATATAAGCAACAGTTTAGAATAAAAGCAGTGGTGCTACTATGAAAAACTATTAAATAGAAATAGCACATTAAGTGGCACTTTAAGGCATTACTCATCAGTGAATCATGGAATAGCAAAAAAATCAACAACTTGCCAGTAATTTCTAAAAATAAACTACTATGACTAAAGACAGTTTACACTGTATTATAAGTAGAAGGCATTGCACAATGTTGGGACAAGAACCTGCTAAAAAGCCATTATTCATATTCTAATATTAAATATGATTCTGGCTGAAAGTGCATATTCAGTTAAAAATGAAGGGAAGTGATTTTTTTTTGCCTGAATTAAAATTCTTGGATTGCCTGAACTGTGCAAAACAGAATATTTAATAACCAAAAAAGTGAGAGATGATGATGGTAGAATTTGTTAAACTGTTTTGTATGACAGTGGCTGACAATGTTGTATCACAATATTGGATGTGCAGTATAATTTGTATTAATCTTTTATTCACAATAGAAAGAGCTGGTTCACTATTGAAATGCTCTATGAATGTCAGCTCTAAAAGCATTGACTGTAACTAACTGTAAGTACAATACTTGCATGTATGGCCTACAGTACACTGTGATAACTTAAATTCATCTTGACGCAGAGGCCCAGAAAAAAACAACTGTTACCCTAATGCAGTACAACCAAAAGAATGGGAGAGAAAAAGATTTAGCTTGGTTTATTTCTCCCACAGTTTATAGCTGTAATTGGAGCCTTTTTGGTTTGACCAAACACTGACTTGGATGCCGGTTGTATGAAAACAGAGGTGCAGCCCTCAGTTTTGTAATATTTTGGAAAAATGATTTGTAGGGCTGTTTAAGAGGAAGAAAGGGTGATGTACAACTGTCAGGTTGGAGTCCAAATTTATTTAGAAAGAAATGCACGCTGCTGCCATAACCTACTCAGTGGAAAATCACTGCATTTCAGAGGAGAAGCCCTTGAACTGTTTGTAATATTAATAATATAACTTTTCCTACATAACATTATTTACTGTATGTCCTCCAATGTGAAGACACACCAGACGATTACACTGGACCATGCACTGACATTAGTACTGTACAAATGCAAACTTCCTTCCTAAAGTCAGTATTTGCTCACAACATCATGGTTAAATATAGTTGCACTGCTGCATATTCCTACTTAACTCAGATTTTCCCCTTGAACTCCATCAGTTCAAGGTGGTGTGATGATGATCAGTGGAGAATGTCACTGACCAGGCGTGATTCACTCTATTATAAGCACAACTATCCACCCTGCTCGAGTATCCTTGACCAGCATGCTGGTTGTATAGTTGCTGCTCTGAGGCAGTAAAAAAAAACAAACAAACAAAAAAGTAACAAACAGATGCTATCTTTAGTAAAATGATCAAGACTGTAGTTGATAGTTTGTGGTCAAAAAAGATGGACTGATTTCTGTTCATTACAGTTGAACTAAAAATATAGAGATGTGGAAAAAAATCAAAGAAAAAAGGCTACATTGTAACTCTTTATTGTATTAATTTGTTCTCTCCACAAATCTGTAAGTAAATAGATATGCAAGGAATGTATGTGTGTTTTTCAGCCATGCTAAAGCTTTTATCAAAAACTAATAACTAATACCATGTCACAATCATAAAAAAGATGTTTGAACTTTGATTAGCGAAGATTAAAATGATTTTTGCCCATATTGGCACCTGCCATTTTATCTTTGTTGTTTCTTTGATTTGGACATTTATAGTTCATTTATTTGTCTTATCTCATTTATTTTATTTTACTTTATTTTGACCTCCTAAACATAATGCATCTTTCACTGCCAGGCCTTGATGCACAGTTCACGGCTATCAGACATTTTTATTTCTATGTTAAAGTGTTTTCTTGATAAAATTGCTTCATATATTTCCTAAATATTGCTGCTGTTTTGCACCAAATGAATGTTTAATTGTACTACTTCTGTAGCTCCTTTAAGTCACACTCTGTTAAACTGAGGTCACGAGAATGTATTTGATTGAAATGAAACAAAACTGGGATCGTTTGTGCAAATTGGTTGGTTGCACATTTCAATTGTAAGTGCAACATGACATGCGCTAGGTGGTGCACTGTGTAAGTGAGCAAGTTTATAGGGTTCGATCATTAGTAACAAAATCTGTTGCTCAGTAGCGCCACTTGCGCTTGGCCTAGCAGCAATACCTATGTCTTGTGTTATTACAGCCCTCAAGACCACGACAGTGTCAAGTTAGCCGTAGCGAAACATGGAACCTCTAAGTAGCACTATTACAATAAAACGCTTGCCGGTAATAATATGCTGCAGCACCATTGTGTGACATATGGCACCTCAGGGAAAGCAAATATATTAATCAGCAATTGAACATAAATAAGAGCATTTGGTTTGCCCAAAGCTACGTTCGTAGTCCTATTTATAATATTAAAGGAAATAATTCTGTAGTAGAACTTTTCCGGAAACCCTGGCTGCTGTTTGATGCCTTTCAGTCTGTGCTCGTCTAACTTGACAAAGCTTTGACCACGAATGAGCCAATAGGCTGTGGAAGGCAGAGTTGTCCCTGTGGCCGCCATTAAAGAAAGGAATCCATGAATTCAAATGGAAACCAACAGGAACGGAGGATGAAATAATGATCGATATAATCCTTAAAATATAGGCTGATGTCAGATTTGGAGAGTTTTTTAAGGATGAATTTAGTTTTTAGACGGAATTTTGCGATGGAGGAGTAAGACGGGACGTTTTTATTTTTTAAAGCAGAGACCGTTTTAGGGCTAAGGGGGAGGGGGAGAGTTGTTTCTTTGCTCTCCTTTTCTTTTTGTTTTATAAACATTTGTCGCTTCCTTCAGCTTGTTTTTACTACGTGCTTCTGAGATGTCGACATAGAGACCACACAGTCTGTTTATCCGCTTTTAGCTCCGGCGGAGAACTGCTATCGGAAGGTTGTTGAATTAACTCTCGTCCAGCCAAATGTTACAAAAAATATTTCTCGTTTATTAAGTCTGTAGATATTAGAAAACAGCAATCCGCAAATTGTTTTTTTATTTCCCGGGAAGTGAAATGATGGAGAGCTGGATCTCGCAGTGAAGAAGGATGAGTTCTTGTTTTGTACCAAACGGGGCCAGCTTGGAGGATTGCCATTCCAATCTATTCTGTCTGGTAAGAGATTTAAAACTAAAGGAAAGCAGCCATTTTTAACTAGCTGAACGGGGGCTAAGCTAGCGGGAGCCACAGAGGCATCACTTGATAGCAGCTTAGCTAGGCTTACGGCCCTGTCGCGCTGACATTTCAGGACGAGGTATCCCAGTTCGTTAATGTTCCAGTGTACCCTTGTTATGACACTTTGGCGTTTATTTGCAGTGCATTGTCTGTTAAAGTCTTATTTTTTAAACCACATTTCCATGTTCTGTTCGAGGTTTACGCCACTCGCTTGTTAGGCTTCACTTACTAATGTTACATGTCACTGGACAGACAGCAACATATCGCCTGTTAGCACGGAATTAAAT